CACGGCCTAGTCGGCCTCCTGCACCATGGCAGAGGGGCATTTTTGCCCTCAGCTCCGGAGGCACTCTGGAAGCTGGCAACAGACCCATTTCCGGCCTTCCCAAACTTCCGGGAGACCCATTTTTTGCCCTCCCTGAGCTTCCGCGCACATCTTGCACTTACCTGCATCCAAAGTGGCCCGTGTGGGGACTCCTGGGAGGGGTGGAGTGGGCAGGGCCAGCCAGGAGTGGGATTTGGGGGTTCTCTGAACTGTGCAGAATCTTAGCTACAGGATCTCCCAAACCCCTGCAAACCCCCAGCAGCCCACTCCTGATTATTGTCCTTTCTATATCAAACAAGTAAATATTGCCATCTCTGCTAATTTTATTTATGTAATTAATTTACATGCTGCCCATACTGTTATCCAAAGCAACTCTAGACAGCTTTATTATAATTTTCACCAGCCTTTCCTCCATTGTGGTAATCTTTTCATTTTTGTCTATATAATAGTTTTGCAGCAATTATCATACCTCCCATTATTCTTTTCTAATTGTCCATGCATTAGTCACAGAAGAAAAGTTGTGGTTTCAATTGAGTATTAATTTTAAAAATTCTTTGTATCACTGTATTTGAACCCAAAATTTTCTGGCTTTTTTTACAAGTGTAACACAGATCTGAAGTTCTTAATACATTATAAATAATTTTTATGGAGCCAGATATCAATAGTACATCACTTTATAAAATTTCTTTTTTAGGCTATAATTTCAGTCCCTTTAGCCAAATATTTTTCCACTGTTCCATCAGTACTTTATGTTAAAGTTCTTTACCCATTTTAGCATACACTCTTTCACTTGTTCTTCTTCCACATTTCAACAAGTTTATATAGATTAGCAATTACATGTCCATCATTTGAACAGAGTTCAATTTCAGATTCTGCCTTGTGCTGTTCAATTCCAAATGCTTTGTTATCGACCTTAAAACTGCATGTGAAAACCATTTAAAGCTAAGTCCTTCTGCAGTCAACTGATCAATTCATCTTGCATTCTCCATGCTCTTGTTCTAACTGCTCCCGATATGTTAATCTTCTCTCTTTGCCCGCTATTTGTCTTCTATAAAATGTTTCTTGTACTGAGTCCCATAAGGCATTTTCTGGTACAATCTGGGTTTAATATTTCTTAATATGGCACTTCTAATGTAATGATTTTTAAAATCCACATTAATCTTAGAGTGGACCAAGTTGGGCTTCAGAGAGAAGGTGGGGTTGTTCCTGACAGTTTGCTATACAGTCTGACCAAGGCCCTGGTTACTGCTTTGTGAGAAGGCAACAGGGGCTTTGGTCAGATCGCACCCATGTGGCCTTTCCTAATATGGACTCTGTTACTCTCCTTGATTTATGAAATGGGGAATAAAATGGATAAAGAGACACCTAGAATGCTGCTGGAAGGTGATGAGGAATGAACCTGATCAAACATGTTAGAGCATTTACTAAACTAAAGCTTAGCTCATAGTGGTAAGGGTGATGAATTGTCAATATTTCTCTCCCCTTATTACATCTATCAATAACAATCCAGCTGCCAGAGCCTTGCTTAGTTTTCTATAATTATTATTTAAATGGCCATGCCACCACATACATTAGATTCATGGGGTTTTAATACAACATAAAAACAATAAAATATCTACAGAAAAATAATATGCAAGGCAGTATATAAATCAAGGAGAAATACATGTAGTCCTTGACATATAACCATTCATTTAGCCATTTGAAATTACAATCACCCTGAAAAATGGAGTTATGACCCATGCCCAAAATTACAGTGAATCCATTGTAGCACCTCCACAATCACATAATGAAAATTTGGATGCTTGGCAGCCCACTCCCCCACTCTGCCCTTTCGACTACCCTGCACCTTATCTTGTAGGACAGCAACAAGCCCAGAATCTTGCAGCTCTCCAGCTGCTTGCCATGCCTTTCGAGCTTGACCAAGAACTAATGAGTATTTGCCAAAATGCCTGCTCTCCCCACTTCATGTGGTTCCCCAGCCTACTTCAGGAAGCAAACCAGCAAGCATCCTTCATTCCACAGCAAGCACCAGCAAACATTCTTTGCTTCATTCCTTTTATCCCCATTCCCCATAACAACTTTTCATCTTTGACATACCTTGCTGCCTTTGCTATCTCCCTTTCAGACCCATTTTCTCTGACAAACATTTCCTATAGGGGACTAAAGCTGTGCTGTATTTGCTATATCCAAAATTGTATCAATTCCAACATGCTATAAATCAGGGGTAGTCAACCTTTTTATACCTACCGCTCACTTTTGTATCTCTGTTAGTAGTAACATTTTCTCTAACTGCCCACCGGTTCCACAGTAATGGTTATTTATAATGTAGGGGACAAAACCCCTACCACCCACCATGAAAGGTGGAACGCCCACTAGTGGGTGGTAGGGACCAGGTTGACTAACTACTGCTATAAATGATAAAATACAACACCCACCCCAATGCATCTACAATAGTTCCATAGGGTACATAGTTGTTTCCCCAAAACTGTCCAGAAGTGTATATTCTTTATCACGTTTGAGCATAGACACTATAATTTTAAAAAATCACATTTTCTGGTTTTAGTCTCACAACCACAAGCAACTTCTCCCCAAATAATCTCATATGCAATACAGCTGGGAAAAGCTTGAGTTATGTAAACTTGATTTTTGCAGCAAAAGCAATGCCTTAAACACACCATTGGCAAAAACTGCAATGTTTCAGATTAATTGTCCTGTGTCAAAAATATGAAAAAGGAATCCAAAACACTTAAGTGACTACTACATATTCCCTATAAAAATTTCTGAGTGCTTTTCCTTGGGAAAACTATATATAGAATAGAATAACAGAGTTGGAAGGGACCTTAAGAGGTCTTCTAGTCCAACCCCCTGCTTAGGCAAGAAACCCTATACCATTTCAGACAAATCGTTATCCAATCTATTCTTTAAAACTTCCAGTGTTAGAGCATTTACAACTTCTGGAGGCAAGTTGTTCCACTGATTAATTGTTCTGTCAGGAAATTTCTCCTTAGTTCTAGGTTGCTTCTGTCCTTGATTAGTTTCCACCATTGCTTCTTGTCCTGCCCTCAGGTGCTTTGGAGAATAGCTTGACTCGCTCTTCTTTGTGGCAACACCTGAGAAATTGGAACACTCCTATCATGTCTCCCCTAGTCCTTCTTCTCATTAAATTAGACACACCCAATTCCAGCAACCGTTCTTTATATGTTTTACCCTCCAGTCTCCTATTCATCAAGAGTTGCGACATCTTTTTTACATCGTGGATACAAATATAAGAAACGGATACATGAAATAAATATAATACAGTCAGGAAAAATGAAAAGAATGAGGATTCAATCATCCACAGTTGCTTTGTATGAGTGGGTGACCTTTATAAATGTGATTGATAAATAAATAAAATCACTCCACAAAGGTCAGTGATGAGATTCAGGATTTATGAAAGGTATTTCTTCATGCATTTATAAAGCACATTGTGAAACTGAAGGCGACAGCCCACGTAAGAAAAATTAAACAAGGTTTGAAGGGGCTTTGGAGATTATGTAATGCAGAAATCCAGGAACTGGTGGAGGATAAGGCTAGGCTTTTAACTATATGTTACCTCTAGGATGCTTCTTTCTCAGGGTCAGCTGCTATGTGGTGCTGATGTCTTATTGCCAACTTCCCCAAAGGCCTCTGGTGATTGGTTACTGTGGAGAGGATGGCTGTAGTAGTTGGTCTCAGTGTTAAACATCTGAAGTACCTTTCTTTTATGTTCTTAACATGAGCATTTGTGTCTTCAAAACATACTTTGTTTCAGGAAGTTCCCAGTACTGTATGTGTTGTAACATGGACTGTTTTACAAAAAAAGGTATTTTTCTGACTGCCATTTATAGTTTTAAGTTCCTTGTATTAAAAAAAAAAATACTTTAGCAGCCGTTCTGATTTTGTTCTTTTAGGCAGTCTTAAGCTATTTTAGTAATCTAACCATTTCAAGAAATACTCTTTTCAAGACACAAACTTCCAATAATAAATCTATTCTTCCTAACTTGATGTCCTCTAGATGTGGATTTTTGGCTTATTTCTATTTTGCACAACCAGCGAATCCAGCTTGATAACAAACCAAAAATAAGCCCTCAAACAGAATTGCTCTAGCTTCACTCCTTCTGCTAAACTACTGTGGTTTTAGGTTTGGCTTAGCAATGGGTAAATCCAAGCTTTGAATATAAAATATAAAGAGTTTGGCCATTTTGTATTCAATATACATTCCAGCAGCTATTTGTTCAAGAAAGCAGGGCACAAAAGGCCATGGCTTAGTGTAAAGGGTGAATATGCTTAACTGTGAATATGCTTAACAGGTTTATTAGTAATTCACACAAGGTGTATGTATGTATATATAGGTGGTTGTCAATCTGGATGTAATAATCACTCTAACTAAGCCATTCAACAGCATTAGGCCCGATTTAGGCCCGGCAGTTAGATTGGCGAAAGAGGAAGATGGCGCCTCTCGGCTCTCCTTTCGCGCCGGAGGGGCATATTCTGCCTGCCCGCTTCCAGAAAACAAGGGCTTTTGAATCAGGCCAGACGTAAAGGTAAGGGAATCTAAAGGAAAAGAAGGCCTTCAAAACAAAAAACACCCTTAAAAGTTTTCATGAGACCGGAGCGCTCGTCTCTCGGCCCTTGGACTGTCTCGACGGCAAATAAAATGGCAGGCGCCTCCTCAGAAGGGCAAGAGTCGCCTCCCAGGGCGTGAGGTCGGGAGCCGACACCCGCGCGCCGAGGCCGAGGGACCTGCTGCTACAGCTCGGAAACCCCAGGGCGCCTTGCGAGAGCGGTTCTTTAGCCGGGAAAGCCGGCGAGGCGTCGGGAGAATGCCTCCCCGGCGAGCGGGCGGGCGCAGGGGCGGGGCAGCGCTGCCGAACATATAGCCGACCCCGCGCCTCTCGCCTCGGCGCTGCCCGAGAAGGCAGCCAGGAGCGCGGAGCCGCAGGATGGTCATCACACGGATTAGCCAGGAGCGCGTTGCGGCTGCGGCTCCCGGCGGGCGACCAAAACCTCCACTCAAGAAGCGGCGGAACGAGGACGTGACCCCCGAGGATCGGCCTGAGCCCCGGGGAGGCGCCGCCGTGGTCGGCCGCCAGCTCCGCGCGCCGGTCAAGAAAAGTAAGCCGCCTCCAGTGGGTCGGTTTCGCAGTCGCGGCGAACCCATGCGCCCTCTGGAGCGGCAGATCTTCCGCGACTACGGGCAGAGCTGGTACCGCTTCCGAAAGGAGCTAGAGGGCAAGTTCCACCCGTTTGACCCGCTGGCACAGCAGCCACAAGTAAGGAGACAAGGGCGGTCTGAGGAAGAGAAATCAGGTCGCTGTCCAGCCTGGTCCGCCCTTCGGCCCAGAAGAAGATCGCGGTTCTTCTTTTCCATGTGCCCACGATAAGCCTGGGCAGAGTTTCCCCCGGGCTAAAGTCTTCCTCCTTTCTGCTCTATCCTGAAAGGACATTTCCAACATTAAGTTTATTCTATGGTGGAGGATTCAAAGTCACGCATTGAACTAAGTCAAAAGATGCACACACACAAACACACACACTCTTACACTTTTGACACAAGGCAGTTCTGGGAGGAAAAACGCTAGATTTTGTTAGGGGTGCTCCATCTGCTCCTCCTTTTTCCTCCACAGAATGCAATTTTGTTTAGGGAGAAACCTTGATGTGCATCACCTGCACCAAAATAGGAATCCAAACACGAATATTGATGCACACATTCATAAAAGAGCTGCTTTTGGGACATTTGAAAATTTGGATTAGAGGCTGAGTGGCTAGAGCTAATCAACAGGGTGGGGCAGGATCTGAGTTTGAAGGGATCTTTATCTTAGATGTGATATGAGGAGGAATCCCAGATGTGCATCGTATTTTGGCTCAAATATATCTTTTATGAATTGCTTCCATTGTTATATACACACTGCTGTGTCTTTTGTATTCCTGGAATTTTGACTACAGTTTGCATTTGCATTATAGCCTGTACATAGTTTTCGGATATACTGCAGTTATGTTTTACAACGGGCACATTTCTTTGACATACATATGCATATCAGATGTTAGTAAAACTAGATATCTGTTGCCTTTGTTTCTAAATTCTCAGACATTTCTTGGTGATTCATCCTAATGAAGATAGTGGAGGATTTTACTGAACAGTAGGGAATGACTGACATTGTGGTTTCATGCCCCCAAAGCACTTTAAATATTTTTTTCTCCATGCCATGTGCCATTCTTTGTTGGGTTTTCTTTATACCTTTTGTACATGGCTTTTTCAGTAAGGATGGAAGAAGAAACACTTTTTTCACTAAAAGAAATAAAATTGTTTAAATAAGGGAGTAAATATGTGTTTGTTTTGTTGTATGTACATATCTTGGTTGTTTATGGAAATTCTCAGTCACTTAAGTCATGGTTGTCCCAAAGATACTTTTTCAAGAGGCAACTGGACTTTCTTGTTTTTCTTTAAAGATATTTCGCTTCTCATCCAAAAAGCTTCTTCAGCTCAGACTGCAAGGAATATAAATCTTTCCATTCCCCACCATCCAGTCAGAGCTGAAGAAGCTTCTTGGATGAGAAGCGAAATGTCTTCAAAGAAAAAACAGAAAGTCCAATTGTGTCTTGAAAAAAACACCTTTGGGACATATCTTGGTTGTTTTGCAATGGAGGGGGAGAGTTGAGCATAGCAGGAGCTGACCAGTCATATATAATGTATGTGGATGACAGTCAAATGGTACTGAAGCCCAATAAATTGCAAACGTGTTTGAAAAACATAATTGATAAATACAATATCAAATACAATTGCAATTAGTATTTTTAGTAAATTAGTAGCAATTACTGTGTTTAGAAGCATGACTGCATTGCTGTTTTTTTCTTCTTGTTGTCATATTTGTTCTTTTGTTCATAGACTCCTATCTGTTTACACACTTATAATATATATATAATCCTATATTTATTATTCCAATTTGACCATATTGATATATCTCCTACATGGCCTTGTAATAGCACAATATTATAAAATCTTTATTTTTTAAAAAAAAGCAAAATAGGAAAAAAATCTAACCTGCAACCAACTAGTTTGGATAATATAATTCCTTTGTATGCTTGCCACTTTGTAAACATACAAATAACTGTTTTCAAGATGCAAATGCATTCCTTATTTCAATTATTCATATTTATTCACACTCAGAGCACTTTAAATCATACAGAAGTAAGCAGTAAAGTTCCTTGTCTCTGAAATACTTCCATGCTAACATTTTAATCCATTGTATTCTATGCTGCATGTAGATTTCAGTGATACCTCTTTTGCATCCTAACATCTTCTTTTCTTGTCTTTCCAGATAACTACAGATGCCCGTTGCAAACTGATTAGCTGGCTCATTCCAGTGCATAAACATTTTGGCTTTTCTTTTGAATCCTTATGTCTGACAGTAAACACTCTAGACCGTTTTCTCACAACCACCCCAGTGGCTGCTGACTGCTTTCAACTCCTTGGGGTCACCTCACTTTTCATCTCTTGCAAACAGGTACTAGGGTCTAGAAAATTTCTTCTCCTTCTCCTTCCTCTTCTTCTTGCAATTGGTACTTGCTGTTGTTAATAGAGAGCACATGAGCAAACTTTATTTAAGTTATAATAGGAGAAATGTCTGAAATATGTGATTGGAAGTTCAAAAATGCTATTGAAGTCTCAATATAGCTGATCAGTAGATTTTCTTTTGTTCATCTATGATTGAAATTACGCTCACAAAAAGCAATTTTATGTTGGACTGTATCACAAACTGTTCTATTCCCTCCTGAATCATCAGTCACTGTGTTCAATTTCCTACATTCATTTAAAAAACAACAGCCAAACAAGTGTTGTTCTACTTGGCCTCAGCCTATTGTTAAAGAACATAACACCTCCATCTGCCTTGTTGCAGGATATCATACTTCAGAGAATAAATATACTGGCTTTGGAGCCTGACATGAATTGTGAAAGTTCATTACAGAAATTTCCTGTCTTTTCTTTGGCCTTGAAATCCATCCTTCAGAAACCTCTCCAAAGACAGGTGCTCTTTTCTTTAAAAAAAAAAAAAATCTGTCCAATTTTTTTTTCTAAACAAGTAAGATTGAGCATAGAGAGCGTCTAGAAATGGGGAAATAATCATTTAGATTCTTTCAGAAAGCTTCTGATGGGTCATAGGAAATGGATAAGGAAGATACCAAGAGCTTTCTTACCATATTAACATCTTAGTATCCAGACTACCATGTTTATAATTTCCTAATCAAATCTCCCTCTCTCTGGAGATGTGTGCTGCAGCTTCAGAAATCAATACCTTAAAAAAAAAAACATTGCAGCCAAGATTAAGCCATTTAAATCTACTGTATATTAAACTGGACAAGTTAATTGTGTCTTTTAATCTTCCAGTTTATTAATTTAATTTTGAAAAAAAATCTGATACTAATGACATTAAGAGCGACAAAAAATAAATACGAACACAGAGAGCTTTATCATTGAAAAAAAAAACATTCAGTGGTGTATTGCAACAGTATTGGAAGCATCCCAAGATTGTCTTTTGCCTAAGCGCCTATGTATTGCTTTCTATGCTTGTGTGCTTTACAGGTAGAAGTGCACCCACCAAAGGTGAAACAGCTCCTGGCCCTTTGCTGTGATACTTTCTCTCGCCAGCAGCTCTGCAACCTGGAGTGCATCATTCTCAACAAGCTTCACTTCAATCTGTCAGCTCCTACCATCAATTTTTTTCTTGAACACTTCACCCATATACGAATGGAAGCATGTGAAACTGATGTTTGGGAAGCCAACAATGCCAAAGCTCTAGCAAAAGGTGTGGCTGAACTTAGCCTGGCCGACTATGCCTTTAACAAATACATGCCTTCCTTGATGGCTGTCTGTTGCTTGGGGCTGGCTGATCAGATGTTGCAGCACCAGAAACCACTGGACTTGCACTTAAGTGACTATCCAGAGGGAGTTTTACAAGACTGCTTGGACAAGTTACATTTACTGGTCTCTTTAAATGAGGACTCTTTGCCTTTGGTACTACCTCCCGAGATTTCAGATCAGTGTTTGCACTTAGAAAAATAAGTTAACCAAACAAAAACTATTTAAAATTGGTGACCATGCATTGGGAAGTTTATGTTTTCTGTTTTGTTCCAATTCCTAAAATAGAAGGATCACTGATAGTTGCAATACCTCTGAAATAACAGTATTCACGTTGTATATTTACTCAATAATCTCTAATACTGTATTTATATTTATTAATAGAAGCTGTGGTATTGATTTAGAATAAAATCAAAGAGCAGCTTCTTTAATATTTTACAGATAATTTCAGATTCTATTTTGCACACTAGACTTATATTGCACTGACTTCATTTTAACTAATAGTCTAGAGTTGTAAACAATGTATATTATGCCTGGTACTTTATTTATTAAAGTGATAGTTCAGTTTGAAGCCATAGGAAGGAGAACCAAATTGTAAAGATGTTTATCTAATAAAGCTTTTATCATTAATTGTGATTTGTTATATTGTTTTCTGTCTCCTCTTATGAAAAAGATGAATTTATCCAAAAAGCACTTAGACAAGAAGCCATTTCATAATGTAGTCCACAGTCCCAGATATATACGTCTTAAGTTGATTCCCCTTTAATCAGTAATATTTGAAACTTCAGCTTCATGATCTAACTATAACTCATGAAGGACAATGATGGCTCAGCAGTTAAGACAGTGGGCTTGTCGGCTGGAAAAGTGACAGCCCAGGTTAGAGACCCGAGCTCTGCACAATGGGATGAGCTCTCTTGTTACTTGCTCCAGCTGCTGCCCACCCAACAGTTCAAAAGCACGCAAATGCGAGTTGATAAATAGGTTCCACTTATGAGCCACGGTGGGGCAGTGGTTAAAGTGCAGTATGGCAGGCTACTTCTGCTGCCTGCTGGCTGCCTGCAATTTGGAGTTCAAATCTCACCAGGCTCAAGGTTGACTCAGCCTTCCATCCTTCCAAGGTGGGTAAAATGAGGACCCAAATTGTTGGGGGCAATATGCTGACTCTGTGAACCGCTTAGAGAGGACTGGAAAGCACTTTAAAATGGTATATAAGTCTAAGTGCTTATTGCTATTGCTGCCACTTCAGTGGGATGTAACAGCATTCCGTGCATGAGGATCCGGGACAATGAGCACATCGGTAGACAGAAACATAAAAGCAAAACATACCAAGTAAGATGCTCCCTTCAACCATTGGGAGTCTCAATAACAACAGTAGAGTGATCCCGAAAAGGCCAGGAGGCACACTTGTACCAAAGCTCAAAGGCCAATACAGGTAGTCCTCGACCTATGATCACAATTGAGCACAGAATGTATGTTGCAAAGTGAGACACTTGTTAAGTGAATTTTGCCCCATTTTACAACTTTTAATATGCCACATTTGTTAAGGGAATCACCGTAGTTATTAAATTAGTAACACGGTTGTTAAGTGAATCTGGCTTCCCCATTGACTTCGCTCGTCAGAAGATTGCAAAAGGTGAGATCACATGACCTTGGGACCCTGCGACCGTCATAAAGATTAACCAGTTGCCAACCATCTGGATTTTGATCACATGACTGTGGGGATGCTGCAATGATTGTGAATAGAATAGAGAATAGAATAGAATTCCTTCTTGGTCAAGTGTGATAGGACACATAAGGAATTTGTCTTGGTGCAAATGCTCTCAGTGTACATAAAAGAAAAGATACATTCATCAAGAGTCAAGAGTCATAAGGTACAACACTTAATGATAGTCATAGGGTACAATAAGCAAATCATACTAGGAAACAGTCAATATAAATCGTAAGTATACAAGCGACAAAGTTACAGTCCTGCAATCACAAGCGGGAGGGGATGGGTGATAAGGAGTGATGAGAAGATTAGCAATAATAGTATTGCAGACTTTGTAATAGTTGAACAGTGTTGAGGGAATTATTTGTTTAGCAGAGTGATGGCTTTCGGGGAAAAACTGTTCTTTTGTCTAGTTGTTCTGGTGTGCAGTGCTCTATAGAGTCGTTTTGAGGGTAGGAGTTGAAACAGTTTATGTCCGGGATGTGAGGGGTCTGTAAATATTTTCACAGCCCTTTTTTTGACTCGTGCAGTATACAGGTCCTCGATTGAAGGCAGGTTGGTAATAATTGTTTTCTTCTGTAGTCCTAATTATCCTCTGAAGTCTGTGTCTGTCCTGTTGGATTGCAGAATGAATGTGAATGTGAAAAACATTGCGTGAAGGTCACTTTTTTCAGTGCTGTTTTAACATCAAACGATCACTAAATGAACTGTTGTAAGCAGAGGACTACCTATAGTGGGATTTTTAAAATTGAAATCTGGTCCTTGCTTCTGATAACAAGACTTCAGGTTCTGATTTCGATGAATGGTGCTTAACTCTGGGATAGAAAACAAAAGTTCTGACAACATTCCTTGACTTATGACCAGGGGTGGGATTCAAATTTTTTAACAACCGGTTCTGTGGGCGTGTCTTAGTTGGTGGCGTAGCTTGGTGGTCATGTGACTGGGTGAACGTGGCTTGGTGGTCATGTTATTGGGTGGGCATGGTCAACTCAATATCACTCACATTAAGAAACGCATCTCCTCGCCTGGCCTTTCATGACTGTGGGGATGCTGCAACAGTCGTAAGTGTGAAAAATGGTCATAAGTCACTATTTTCAGTGCCATTGTAACTTTGAATGGCCACTCCACACAAGCAAAGTACCAGCAAAGGGGGGGGGGGAAAACTCCAGAGACGTTCCTGAGACAGGAAGTCTAGTCCTGCCAAGAATGTAATAAGGGTTAACGGAGAGGCAGTTTCTGTAAGTAACACGAGAATGTTTCCATGCTGCCTTCCGTACAGGATTAGGCCAGTAATTTCTTCTAACAACTGGTTCTCCAAACTGCTTAGAATGTTAACAACCGGTTCTAGCGAATAGGTGCGAGCTGGTAGAATCCCACCCCTGCTTATGACCGTAATGGAGCCGGCCCATCCTGGTCCTAAGTTGTGATGGTTATAAATTGGATCATCCATGTGACCAACTGATCCGATTTTACAACCTTTTTAGTGATGGTCATTAAGTGACCACTGAAGAAGTCATAAAGCAAACACCGCAGTTGGTAAATGGTTCTCTTTTGCCGAAAATCAGAAGTAAATGCTGGTTTGCAATAAAATTGCCATTAAATACGGTCATGTGACTGAGGGGCACACAAATACTGTAAATGTGGGCCGGTTGTTGAGTGTCCAGCATGCAGTCTCATAACCACAAGGTGGGCCTGCCTGTCTGTCAGAACTTCCAATCCAGATTGCAAGTACCCTGAGGTAGGTCCATAGTAATTTCAAGGACTTGCAAATCAAAGACTACTTGTGTACAGATAAGCCAGTTGTGTGAAGATTCCCGCCCCCTTCCTTAATTCCTCAAGCAAGAGTGAAAAAACAAGCACATTAAACATAGCTCTGAATGAATTCTGAACTTTTGGAGTTTTCTTAATAGGAGAAATCAAAAGAGAAATCAATATCTGTCACTAAACTCCTTGAAATATAATGGTTTTCCACAGTACCACTACAGGATCCTTACCCTATCACAATTCCTGGAGTCAGGCATGACCAAGATTAGGCAAAATCGGCTGCACATAAATCAGATAGATAGATAGATAGATAGATGGATGGATGGATGGATGGATAGATGGAGGGAGGGAGGGACGGAGGGAGGGATAAATAAGTAAATAAGTAAATAAATAAATGAATAAATAAATGGATAAACAAACAAATCTTGTGTGGTGTGTCATGGAGGCTTTTACCTTCTAACAATAAATTTTAGTAACTTCTAACTTGCCTTTAAAATTCGCATAATCTGAACACTTAACACGGGCATCTAATTAGATCCTTGAGATCGCTTTCCAAGGGAATAGGAAGTAGGGCTGGGCTGTTGGCCAGGGAGCCAAAAAAATAAGAAAACAAATGCTCTCTGCCTATGTTCAGGGACACGGATACATCGAGAGCCTTGGTTTGGATTGCCCTTCATCCTCCATGGGGCTGCGGTGAGTGAAGACAAAGGACTCCAGCCGCGCTGGTCGGTTGGCCGGGGCGCCAAGAGGCAGAGAAAGGGCGCAATTTCGTTCGTCTGCTCCGAGCCGCACCAGCAGCAGCGGCGGCGGCGGCGATCGAGCTTAATCTCCGGGCGGAGCGGGGAAAAGGCTGGAAGAGGAGGGACGGCGGGATGAGGCTGGGCTCCCTTGTTGCCATGCTGGTGTGTGCCAAGGTAAAGGCGCCACCTCTGGCGCTCAAACCGCAGCCGGCCCGCCTCCCCTCGGCTCTCTCTCTTCCCAAGAGAGAAAGCAAAGCCGGGCTCCCCAACCGCGGCCAGATCGCTCCAGCCAACCGAGCAGGCGACGCGTTCTGGGTGGCGAGTCGGGCGGCGAGTCGCGATGCAAAAGCGCGACAGCGGAGCCGGTGGTGGCGTCAGGCAAGCCTGTGGCAGCCTCTGTCCCAACAGGGTGCAAGATTTGGCCGGCAGGTTGGGCAAAAAGCCGTGCAAAGTAGAGAGAAAGGTGCGTGGCTGGAGACCGACGGACCTCACGAACAGCAGAAACGTCGCTCGCTCGCTCGTTGTAGGACGGGAGACAGCGTCGCCCAGTGGTTAAACCAAGGGCAGGAAAAAACCCGAGCATTTCTCATTCGAGCACTCGAAGATGGGAACTGATAAGGAAGCGAGCATCTCTGGGCATGTGCAGAGAGTTACTTGCCTTCTCCGGTCATCTGATATTGGAGGAAAATGTCAAAGGGAGAAATTCAAGCTCCTGTGCCTTCTGATATTTTACATACATGTATATCTATATCATCTATATCTTTATTATCTATATGTCTATATCTATATGATGTAAGCAAAATAACAGAAAGCACAGGATGTGTGTGTGTGTCCATGTGTGCGCGCGCTTGTAGTTTAAAAAGAGGATAAAGATGTCCTTGCACAATACAAACTCCATCAAAAGAAAAGCTTTGTTGCGCAGAGAACCAGGCAGCCCAGCCCAAAAAGTAAGAGACCCGGAGTTCCCTGAGGCTGAGACATGTGCCCAGGCTGCCTAAAAAAAGTTTTAACGTTTTTGTTTGCAACTGTTTTGCCCGCAGGTGCCACGGAAGATCCTGCATCCCAGAAGCTGCCCCATAATTATTCATAACGACCCATCGCCGGACTCAATAGAGACTGGTGAGTTCGGTTTGCAATCTTCCTTTCCAGCTTGAAGATACGTTCAGGCACTGTACGCTCACCCACACACCTACATCCACCCACATACACACCAATGATCCTTCTAGTCATCTTTTTTTTAACCCATTGCTCACAGTTGCCCCTTTCGCCCCCTGTATCTTTTTTAGTTTTTAACCCAGCTTTTGAAGCTGATAATTATTCAGGAATAAATGAAGCGGAAGACAGACGCTTCCTTAATTTAATCGTCTGCGACGGTGGCAAAAAGCAAACAAACCAACAACCGCAATTGGCCAAACGCAAGCCTAACTTTCTTTGCACATTTGTACTCGTACACGTCTGTCAGCCTTTGAAGTTGGTTTCCAATGATTGGCCTGTGGTTTCCCTTTTAGCCTTTGCTACCATCGATTGGCAAGATTTAGCTGACTGCACCTCAGCCTTTCAGCGGGAAGCTTCTACAGACGCCGCTCTTCATCAGGTAAATCGATAGTCCTCGCCCACCGGCGATTTTAGACAGGCATGACTTGAATCGTGCATTTAGGCTACTGTTTTAGCTACATTAGAGTGAGGATGCTTCCCTCGTTGCGCTTTGCATTGGGACAGAAGTGGCCTCGGTGCCTTGCGGAAAGTCAAGCGCTTGGGATTCATTCCCATTGAGGAAAGCGACCTCCCGTTAATCTGCATGGATTTATTTAGAAACCTGGACCTCATCCTTAGGAACCCTCCAGGTGGCAGTAGATAGCAGACATTGGCTGTTTCCGAAACTAAGCGGTGTTTGATCTGGTTGGTGATGGGATCCATCTAGATCAGGGGTCTTCAAACTTAACAGCTTTAAGACTTGTGGACTTCAACTCCCAGAATTCCTCCTCCAGTCATGTTAGCTCACGAATTCTGGGAGTTGAAGTCCACAAGTCTGAAACTTGCAAAGTTTGATCTAGATAATATTTGGGAGGGAGACCATTAGAAGATTCCAGAGCCATGGATGATCTTTAGAAGTTGAGAAACATACCAGAAAAAGTCTATGGAGATTGTCAGTCATCCATGTCATGGTTGTCCCAAAGGTGCTTTTTCAAGAGGCAACTGGGACTTTCTGGTTTTTCTTTGAAGACCCTTTGCTTCTCATCCAAGAAACTGGTCCAAAAAGCTGAAGAAGCTTCTTGGATGAGAAGTGGAATGTCTTCAAAGAAAAACCAGAACCTCCTGGGACATACCAGAAAAAGGTGCTGGGAAACCATTTCCATGGTATTACTGGGAAAGCAGTGCACCTACCCAAGAAGTATGGAGTTGAGATTGGGTCAAAAGAGACCTTAGACTTTTTTTTTTTTAAAAAAAAAATCTTATTCTTGCTGCTGAAGCACAAAACAGCCTTATTTTCCAGACAACTGTTAAAAATGGAAAGTAGAACAAATTCTACTTTAGGGATTTAGGATGTCACATAAATATTGCAATTTCAGATAGTAATTTCTAAAAATGAGAAGTGTGGATGCTTCAGTGCACCTGCAAAGAATTTGTTGGTAGTTATGATGAAGGAATACTGTAGAAAGTTTCCATTGCTTGTTGGTGTTTTCTCATAAAAGATGTATAGTGCCTGATTTAAAGGATCAGCATGCACACTTTGGGAGTGTAGGGATGATTTTAGAAAATGGTGTTGAAGATAAATTACTATCATCTTATTACATGGGTTCATAACAGACTAAATCGTGATGTAGTTTGCTTGATTTTAGCTTTGTATGTCATGTGAACACAGCCATCATGGTTTAAAAACTAGAATTTATGGCTTCAGATATTATACTAACCAACTATAGCTTAAACACTTGGGGTACAAACTAAATAAACATGGATTATTCAATAAATCATAGGTCAGTTTGTGTACATCTGGGTGAAGCTGTGGCAATTAATTTGGACTGCAATTCTATACACACTTCCTGAGATTTAGATCCACTGTACTGAATTTCCTTTGAAATGGCTGCATCCTGGAGTGTATTGTTGAACTTTACAAATGATCTGCCATAAAATTTTATGCCTTTCAGAAGTTAATGGAAGTCAATCCTCAGGATTCACTCCCATTAACTTCTGAAAGGCATAAAATAGAATCCTCAGGATTCATTCTATGGGAAAAGAAGTGTATGGATTGGATTGCAGTTTTAGACGAGAATAAATGGAATTCTTAGGTCAGTGATGATATCCAAGAAGAAATGGGCACTTTGCACCTTCTCCGCAACCAGAATCAATGAGATTAGATAATAAGAGGATAGGGAAGATCCGTAGTGCGAAGGTTAAGTCGCAAGTTTGCTGATTTTCCATTTTACTTATTTTGTAAGATGCTATTTTATAAAGTGGCAGCTTAGCCTGGTGCAATACGTACCAAGGGCGGTGGTTCACTGACCCACACCGGGCACAACCTAGTCAGCCAACCACGGCCACTGGAAAGGGAACCACGCGCAGATTCGCTTGCTTTCAGCACCAGAGAAATGCCCAGTTTGGAAGAATGTGATTGGCTCGCGCAATCTAGCCAATTAGATCACGATGTGGCACGGAGGGAGAAGCATCGCCTGTGATGGTAGCGCCTAGGCGTGAAATCCGCAAGAGCGATGGATCCAACTTTCTCCCGAAAGAAAACCAGCGTATCGCAGCGAATACCTCAATAGGTATTCCCTTGCCCTTAACGGCCGTGACAATCCAACATCAGCCGTCCTTTTTTCTGCCTTTGGCATCATGTTAGTGAGAGCTTGCTCCCTTCGCTGCCTGCGGTGGCCGGTGGATTTGCAGGTGCGCGTGGAAATGTTTATTACGCGTGGGAAGAAAACGTCAGAAGGTGTTTCGGGAGAAAAGTTTCCCTAATCGGCTCGTTTCCCTTATACTTTTCAGAGCCCTTCCTTGCAACCCGAGAATGACTTTGATTTCCAGGAGTTTCGAGATGCCGTGGATAACTTCTTATCTGGCAAGTATGCAGAGAGAGCTTAATTGACATTTCCTGTAGGTAATGAAATCTTTCTATGAATTTCTTCAGTGGGCTGCCTACCGCTCAATTAAAGAATTTATTTCAGTCATTGACCATGCATGCAGATGTCATGTATGTCTACTTGGGTCTAAAGCCAACTTGCATTCTATTTGGCCTTGCTTATTTATTTTTATTTGCCATATTTATATGGCCGTCCATCTACAAAATATGATTCTGGATGGCGACACTAAAAAACAAAATGACCATATTAAAAGGAACATCCCATGATTATATCTTTGATATTATTATTAAAAGGCTAGGAGAAAGAACAGATATTACAAACAATGGGGCCATCTCATTAAATCCCATTTCCTTGAAATGAAGGAAACAATATTTATATTTTGAAAAATAATACCTGCCATATTAACCTTCATTTGCACTGATATTTTTGAGCTCATCTTCTTTACATACCAAAACCATTGTGCCAAAATAGGGAGGAGCATTTAATTAAATTCTCTCAATTGCTTCCAAATTCTTATTAACCAAGTACTACAGCTTTACTTTATATTACAATAGGTCTTTTTTTCTATTAAAATTACTCTATTCTAATTACTTCTTTAGTAAAGAAACTAGAGGCCTGTGAATGGGTGGCTACCTACAGCTTTTGCCTGTTTCAGGGCAAGGTATTATAATTTTTGTATTGATGACAATCTTTCATCCCACTTTCAGTATTTCTGTGGTTCCAATCAAATTCCTTCTGTGTATGGTTGTTATTAAATTTATATTGCAGGATGTTGTGGGGAAAATAGGAGGAGGAAGCCATGCTGGATATGTTTGCTGTCTTGAATTATTTGTAAAAAAAATAATAAAGGTGGGATTTGAATAAATAAAATAAATAAAATAAATTAGACGTTCCTTAGCATTTGCTTCCATTTTAAAGCTATGCACGCATAATTTAGAGTAGGCTCTACTGGCACAGTGGAAATTGCTCATGATCCATTTAACAATGGACAAAAATGAAAGCCAGACAAGGAATAATGGATGGAAACTGAACAAGGAGAGATTCAACACAGAAATAAGGAGAAATTTTCTGACAGTGAGAGCAATCAACCAATGAAACAGCTTGCCTTTAGAAGTTGTGGGAGCTTCATCACTGGAGGCTTTCAAGAAGAGACTGGACTGCCATCTGTCAGAAATGGTGTATGGTCTCCTGCTTGGGTGGGGGAGTTGGACTAGATGACCTACAAGGTCCCTTCCAACTCTGTTAATCTGTAAGAAAATCCTTTTAAATTTAGGGAAACTCCTTTCAATTAAATTTTCCTAATCTGATGCCCTCTAGTGGCAAACCCCTGAAATGTTTAGAATAATCTTTCCCCCTATAATCTATTTGTTTTTAGTGGGTGAAAATCAAGTTCTACTGGCAGGGGTGTGAGGAAAAAAATATATGGTGGCTGCAGCCATGTGATCAAAGCCCTGTCATTTTTAGGTGAGTTTCATGTGCAGCACCTATAAAAGGGGAAGTGTTGTGGGTTGGACACACAGTTGTGGCTGGCAATCTTTTGCTTGTTTGTTTGTTACCCCTTCTGCAGACACTCATGTCTACAGGTAATCCTCACCTTACAATCTTTCATTTAGTGGCAGCCCACAGTTACAACGGCACTGAAAAATGTGATTTATGATGGTTGTTCATACTTACCACCATTGCAGAATCCCCATGGTCATGTGATCAAAATTCAGATGCTTGGCAACAGGCATGTATTTATGACAGTTGCAGGGTCCAAGGGTCATGGAATCACCTTTTGTCACCTTCTGTCATGCCCCTGTTGGAGACTGACTCTGAGGGAGAGGAGGAACAGCCGACAGGGAGTGGAAGTGTGGCTCCGGAGGTTGTGGAGGAGGCTGGGGAAGGGCAGTCAGAGGAAGACCCAGGCCCATCCCCTCTCTATCCTAGGGCACACAGGGAGGAGAGGATAAGGGAGAGGTGTGAATGGCATGGTCTACGGGGGAGGAAAGGGCCTTGATCCTCTTCATGGGCTTCAGTTGTGAGAACTGGTTAAAAGGATGGACATGTGTATGGGTCAGTGCTGGAAACAAAGCGTGGAAATATCTCTAGTCTGTTGTTCCTCTCTGAGTTTGGCGTCCTTCCCAGTGTGTGTTCCAATATCTGTGGATGTCTTCAAGCCCCTATCTTGCCTGGTTCCCTTAATTGCTTCAGTGTGGTTTGTATTGTTTTTACTCTTTATAATGTATAGACATTTTTAGTTTAAATGGCATTTCCTCCTTGTCTTAGCTGCTTGTGGGGGAGTTTTTGCCTCCAGTCAAGGATATTTGGAGGTTTGAAGCAAAGGGAAGGAATAAAAGGGGCTTCACCTGTTTTCGTGACTGTGTTTATTTTGTATCCCACCCTGGGTCATCACACCTTCTGACAAAGTCAATGGAGAAGCCAAATTCAGTTAACAACTGTGTTACTAACTTAATAACTGCAGTGATTCACTTAACAACTGTGGCAAGAACAGTCATAAAATGGGGACAAAATTCCCTTAACAACCTATCTTACTTAGCAACAGATATTTTTCACTCAATTGTACATAGTAGAAAGTTAACTATCTGTATTGGTAAGAGTTCTTTTTGAGTGAAGGAATTTAAACTGAAAAAATATTATTATTCTTCTGCCATATCCATCATCGGATGTTGGCGATCATGTTGGTGATCCTCTTTTTATCAACTGCATGAAAGCTGTTGAGCTTTGTCCAAAACAGCCCCTTAGATTTTGAAGCCATGATGTTCTTCTTCCTGGACCTCATTTGCTTTCAATTTTTCCCTGGAGGATGAAATGAAGTATGCCGTATTTTTCCGGGTGTCACATCACATCTCCAAAATATTCCAACTTTTGCTTTTTTATGGTTTTGATGATTTTCTTTGGCTTTCCTAGGTGGCTTATCACCTCCGCATTTCTGATTTTGTCAGCCCAGCTTATATGTAACAGCCGTCTATAAATCCACATTTCAAGTGCTTCTAGTCTCTTCAAGTGGCTTTCTGTCAGAGACCAACATTCTACTCCGCAGAGCAGGATGGAAAAGATGTAGCATCTGACAAGCCTGATTTTCAATCTTAGGTTTATGTCGTGACTGCAGAAGACCTTTTTCATTTTGAGGAATGCTGTTCAGAAAATATTATAAAATATTATAAAAAGCCAAATGGGATAATAGCTGTTTAATCATACTATAGCTGAATAACCTGTAGCCTTTAGCTTAAGTTCAATGCTCATCTGAAAGAAAAACAGTTCAAATCTTTGGAAAGAACTGTCTGCAACCTGATGCTGCTTTTTGGGGATTCACTGACATTTTTTCTGAGTTAGTTGTTCTGCGCTTAATTTAGCTTTAATTGCTCCCCGGCTACATTGTACACATGCCAGCAAGATAAATGGAGTCAACCAACTATATAATTTTATTCCTATTCTTCTCCAGATCCTTCTCCTCTGATGGCTCCTCTGCTGGATTTTCCTTTCCCTGTGGATAGTGGAAGCCCCCCCAGTCCCTGCCTCCAGAAACCTGTACCAATCGATCTGAATCTAGAGAGTGTCTCATCCACTGAGCAGTACTGGAAAGAACTGGCAGATCAAAATCAAAAGGCGCTGGGGGATGCACTTGTGGAAAATAATCAGGTACGAAGAGCGAACGGTTATGAAAAGTAAGGTAGGCATTTACTTAGCAGCAAGCCATTTGAACAATAATGCATTGAGCACTGCAGCAAGATGAATAATACTGAGATGAAAAAAATTCAGGCAACTCCCAGATGGAAGCAAAGTATTTTCCCTATCTCGTTACTGCTGTCTAATGGTGTGCATGTTTTTGTACCTCAAATATGGAAGCTGTACTATAATTAATAGGAAGAGAGCTACTCTGATGTAGGGGTTAAGCATCAGCTGAGAGACCTAGTATCACTTTAGGCATAAAGCCAGTTGGGTGACCTGCCTTGGGCCAGTCATTCTCTTTCAGTCCTTGGAAGGAGGCAATGGCAAATCACTCTGAAATCTTGCACTCACAAAAAATTGCAGAGACTAGTCCAGACAATTGCCAGGAGTCAAACACTGACTCAAAGGTACTAAAAATAAAACAAACAATAAAATGCATTGGTTTTAGCTGCATCTGTCTATAGCATTTAAAAAAACAACCTGTGGCTTTTAAAATGATTTTCTACTGAAAATAAATTTCAATATTTCTTTGATTTGTATGTTGTGGGCTAATCTTTTAATGTGCAGTTTAAAAATGTAGGTTGAAAAACTTGAATTTCACTGCCATTCATTAAAATTAAGCACTTTAGCAAGATAAAGTTTTTGGGAGAAGGGGAGAGAAGGGAAGGGATAGATCACAACGTTTGGTTGCTGGCAACATTTGTTTGACAAGGTATTCTGTGCTCGTGATTCTTACCTGACCATATTTATTCCCAACAGCTTCAAGAGACATTGACCCAAAAGCAAGAAGAAATTGCTTCTCTTAAGGAGAGAAATGTCCAGCTAAAAGAATTAGCCAGCCAAGCCAAACAGCTTGCTTCTGTGCTAGATGTAAGTGCTAAAGTGTCTCTCCCAGTAGGTCACTTCTATTCCACTTTTAGGTGGTCATACCGTCATAAAGCAAAGTTATTTTTATGGTCAAAATGGCTTCACACAACTCATAAAAAAACTCTTGGGTTAAACCCTGGTATATTCTCCAAGCATAAAATCAGAGATTAATTCTGACATATTACACTAAAGTTAAATTTATTTTATGTCTCCCTGGCTTCCTGATCAATTAGACTTTGTTTTTGTTTAGTCTCTTTTAATTAAGAAAAAATTAGAAACTGACATGCTACAAAACAAAGCAACTCTGGAGACTGTTATCTGGCAGGAATTAGGAGATATGCTTTCTCTGCCACAGGCCCTGCCTTCTGGAATATCCTCTCTTCAGAGGTTAGGATGACCCTGATCTTAGTGGCTTTTCATAAGGCCTTGAAGACCTGGTTATCTGCTCAGGTCTGGGCCCCTGACTGTCTGAAGGGTTCCGTTTCCTGACTATATGGACACCTATGATAATGGTTTAGCTTGACCACCATATGTATTTATTTTTATACTATACTATATTTAAAACTGTGTTAATCACTATACAATGCCCAGATTCGCTTACCTGAGATGGGCAGCTACAGAAATGAAATGAAAATAAATAAATAAACAAACAAACAAACAAACAAACAAACAAACAAACAAATAAATAAGTAAATAAATAAAATACATACATACATACATACATACATATATACATACTTCAGGAATACATAGAGGGGCATTAAGGGAGGAAAAACAATAACTTAGTACTGGGAAAGGGGAAATCCTGAGAAAGAAATTCAAATTAAGTCTGTCTTGATTCTATTTGGAATAAGATGAGCAAAGGGTCATATAAATGGGCAGCAAAGGGCAGCTATATAAATAGAAAATGAACGAATGAATGAATGAGAAACTATTGTAGGCTTTCATGATTATGTATTATATCCTATAACAATAAAATATCACCCCTATAAGACAGGACTCTGTTTCCTGATCTGGTCTATTTCAAAGGCACCAAACTCCAGCATTATTTTGATTTTCTCTATAAATATTCTTAAAGAAACGAAATGGTGGATGATTATGGCCCACTGCTTGGTTTGTAATTATGTATTGTGGCTAATAAACAAGATTAATTGGATAGGGAAGGCACAGAATGGATCATGGGTGTTTTCTGTCTTGATGTGCTGATTTTGTGAATGACAAGCAACCTCACCCATAGCAGCCATTTTATGAGACCCCCCTCCCCAAATTCAAATAGGAGTATGTACTCAAATTAATTATTTTCTGCTTGTTTTTAGTGTATGAGCGATTTTAGCAATATAGTCTGTTGGGGAGTAAAATAACAAGCATGACGTGCAACTAATGTCTTCCAAAATTTGTGCTTTTGATTGTGGCAGAAATTGATGCTTCCTCAGAGCAAAGACAGTGCTGACCTTTCCCTCAGCTGTGGCCCTGGCAAGAGAAGCCTTGAGCAGATGTCAGTTCCTGAGCATGAGGAGGACATGGAAGTGAACGAAATCTTAAGGGAAATATCGGAAAAATGCAATGCAGCCCTGCAATCCATTGATGATGACAGAGGCCCGAAACGTCCTCGTGGAGAGAATGAAGCTGTCCACATGTATGGAGCTTTCCATGGGCTGCAGACGTGCAGCAGTCACAGTTCCCTGGACTTGAGTGGAAGTGAATTTGAGGAAGGGGTGTCCTTCAAGACGTCCATCAAAGAGCATTGTAACATTAAGACACTGGCCTTTCCACAAGGCAATGCTTTTACTGTTAGGACAGCCACTGGGGGCTACAAGTTTAGATGGGTCCCCAGCTGATTGAAGAAGGAAGCAATCAGCTAACTACACTTGCCAAAATCCTACTCATGCTCACATATAAAGTGATACGCACCATATAAAGTGGTACGGTTAACAGAAGTAAAGAAAAGTTCCTAGTATTTAAACTAAGCTTCTTCTTCATGGGAAAAATCAAATCCTGTTAGGGCTGTCTATGCAGGAGGATCAAAAAAAAGTGGCCTTGATGGTATGACTGAAACTCTGCTTTATTTTATGAACTAAAAAGGGGTGGCACGTCAATTGTATGGAGACATCTTACCCCCTCTCCCACTGCAAGGATATTTATGGTGCTAGACTACCAACTACCTGGTTTCAATACTTGAATTACTTAAATAATCCAAGGTCAAAACCGATTAGATATACTTTAGCAATGGCTGTTTGGTTTTCTTTTTATTGCTGACTTGCAATGCCAGTCCTAAGTTGGCTTCGGTAGCATGGTTTTGCTTGATGATGTTGGATTACTCCCTCTACCTCCATATGATTATCACTGTTCTTTTCTTCAAGCACCTCAGAAGAGCAACTTCTTCTTCTAAAGCTGCCCCTGTCCTCTTGACTTCTAGCTACAGTAGCTCTTCTCTTCTCACTGCTCTCTGCTCTCCATTCTGTTTTTTTCTTCTTTACCTTACAGATGCCTGGAGGTTTCTTCCTCACACTGCTTCAGCAGACTGTGTCCCTAAAGTAATCTAACAATGCCAGTGAAAGAGATTTCCTTTCTGGAAAGGGTTCCTGATTTTGCACAAGTGTCTCACAGCACAGATAGCTATATTTAGGATTATTGACTGAAATACCCTTAAGGCTAATTTGTAGAGTTACCTGCCAAATACCATGGTGTACCTGTGATAAGTTTCAAAGGGGTATTCAAGTGAAGCATCCTTCCATCATTTGATGATTAGGTGGCTTCACAAGTCCAATAAAATTTGTTGTGACTCAGAAAAGAAAAGCAGTAGTGGCTTGCTGATTTTTGGTGGTCTTCTCTGCACACATGTGTTTGTGTGCACAAAAACTGAAAAGCATAAGTGTAAGAAGTAGCTGGGCATAGTCCACCTCAAGATTTGAATGCCTTCCTTGGTAGTGATTGGCATCAATGTAGATTTGCAGAGCAAAACAACACTTTCTCACATAATTCCACATAGTGTATGATAATCCATTCCACGGCATATTTTTCAATCCCACATTATAGAAAGATTTGATATACTGATGTACACAACCTGGTTTTCTTCAAAGGCTACTTGAATGGACCCATCATTTTCTCCTGATAGGGAGAATATCTTTTTTCAAGTATCATCTCATTGTTTAGAAAGGTTATAATGTTCATAGGTTTGACTAGGGAGAGAGGGATCTTTAGGAAAATTACATATGAAGGTCAGTATAAATGAAATTTTCAACTGGATAGTGAGAGAAGTGTGACATTATGTATAGGAAAAAATAGAAATCTTTGCAGTTGTAGACTCCACCAGAAGTTCTAGGTAGGTTTATAGACTCAAACAATCTAGATTTACATTATCATAATTACTGTCATCATTATTTGCTATGGGCTTAAATAACACTTGTTTAACGGAATATTTACCGTTACAAAAATATTGCTCAAGAACAGAACTTTTCCAGGCTAAGATTCTGCTCTTAAATTGAATTCCTAAAAGTTATAAAACCATGCTACATCTATACACAAAATACATTTTATTAAGTAAAAGTCTGCAGATGTGCTTTTGGAACCTAATGATCCTTGGCCTTTTTCATAAATTGGGCTAAACTCTGGATTTTTAGGATAGGGTTGACAGAATATGGCATAATTGACTGAATGTAACACATCAAAGCTCAAGAAATCACATTATAACATACCATATGAAATAAATCAAGCCATAAATGTGTTTAATTGATACGTGGTAAAAGGAAGAGGGCCATGAAGAATTATTAAAGAATGGAATAACTTCTTGTTTTGATCTTATAGCTAGTAATGTATTACTTATACCTATGAAGGCTGAAAGCCAGCATTTTCAAAAATAAAGGACTTAAGACATGAACATAATTGGGTATTATCCTGTCTCTTCCATACCCCCTGTAAAATCTTTATGTATGATAATGGATTTATGCAAATTTGTTCTCCTATGAAAATGACAAAATGACTGATATTTGGTTGATATTTTATATTAATTTGTAATGTTATCAACAATATGTCTTGGGTTTTTCTCCCTTTAATCATAACAAGATGAGCTCTGTTCCTTAAAATCTTCTTTATATAAAAGAAAATAGCTGTCATTCTCTTTATTTCTTTGGTTATTATACTGTTTATGTGTTTATTTTGGTTCCAGAAATATAGGCAATATATTGCTCACATAGTCGCAATACTTTTTTTTTAAAAAAAAATCGGAATGGATGTGATTTGACACCACCTATTCCAATTCTCAACTATAACTCCTAATAAAATAATTTTATTTCCCCTCAATTCTGGCTCCTTCTTATAATGTGATAATATCATCAGATAGCATTTTATGGCTCTCTCAGAGATACAAGCCATAGGCCAGTCCTCTTACATATTACTCACCCATGCGCTGGACTATGTTGTATCTGGTATAGTTTTGACTTACGTGACATGAACCCAGTCAATTCTTTATTCAATAAACTACGGTTAACCCAATAATGGCTTAGTGTATTGTGTGAAAACAGGATTAATTTATGGAACGAAGGCTAAAATTAATTCAGAAAAATGGTTTTGATAAGTAGTTCTCATTTATAGTGACTGCTTCATAGAGTGACTATTTACAGTTATGACCGTGATGAAAAAGTCACTTTGCTACTAATCTTCCCTTCTATGACATTGACAGTTCTGTAAAAAAAAAAGCTGAAGTAAGATAATCAGCACAGTTGTAGTTTCACTTAGTGACTGCTTTACTTAATGACTGAATTGCTGTTTCCAATGTGATTACTAAGTTAGGACCACCTGTAATAATGATCATCTCATCCACGGCTCTAATAAAATTATAGTTAAATTATCATTATCATTCATCTTTAAATGTAGGGAAAAGTTCGACTTTGCTGTTATCCTGATAACCACAGCCAGAAAAATCAAATTTCATTTCATTTGTCTGCAGCTTTGTGATCCTTGGTCATACAAATAGGAGAATCTGGGAGTTTTAATTCGAAAAGCAATAAGGTTAGAGAAATGTTTAGAAATATTTAAACCTGACACAAAACTAAGCAATTAAAGTTTTAAAATTGCTGAGGCCTATGTAAATAATCAGCACATTCAAATACATGTTTTAACGTTGTAAGCCACCCAGAGTTGCCTTATGATGAGATGGGCAGCAAACAAATTTAATAAATAAATAAATGAAATCATCAACGGCAACATGGCCAGCGGTGCCGTACCACCCGCCCCATTCAACCCAGAAACCGAAGACTGGGAGGCATACATGGATCGGTTCCAGATGTTTCTGGAGACCAACAATTTGAAAGATGCAACAACCGGCAAAAAAAGAGCTATCTTTCTAACTCACTGCGGGCCTACCGTGTTTAAAATGGCAAAGTCACTTGCCAAGCCAGCAGAGGTAAAAGAGATGGACTGGGACGTCCTCGAGCCTTTACTACGGCCTCACTACGCGCCCACCGTGCCAACCTTAGTCAGAAGACACGAATATTACCAGAGGGATCAACGGAAAGGCGAAAGCCTTGCCAATTACATCGCGGACCTCCGCAACCTTGGAGGCCTCTGCGGATTCGCAGACTTAGAAGAAGCCCTCCGGGACCGCCTGGTTCTGGGCCTAGAAGACGGCACGATCCAGAGCAAAATCATGGCTAAGGGGGACATCAGCCTCACCGATGCCCTTAAAGAAGCCTCGGCAGCGGAGGCGACCAAGAAGTCGCCAGCCCGAATGCGCCGCACCAACGCACCGCTACGTAAACTCGCCACTGATACCTCGCCTCGCTCAGAGAGACACCCGGTATCAACTCACCACGAAGACCTATAGTCCCCGTCCAACAGCGATGAGGAAGAGGTCAACCGACTTCGAACGGAGCGAGACCAGTCCACACAACACTCATTTCGACCGTGCGCCGGCTGTGGAGTCAATCACCCACGATCCGGCTGCAAATTCCTCGACGCACTCTGCCGCAATTGCGGGAGACGAGGTCACATCGCAAAGGTTTGCAGAAGCAAACAGAACTCCAAACCCCGACAGGCCGAATGCCAATCTTCAGGATTCTTCGGCACACACCGAGAAAAATTGAACCACCAATGGGGAAACCACTCCTACAGAAACAAACCATCCACCACTTCCACCAGGCGCGAAGAAACCTGGCGGGAAGAGACCCACCAAACAATCACCATAGGCCACGCTACATCCCTTGATGCCGGGAAAATCCGAGTAAAGGTCACCATCGAAAACAAACCTTGTGTGATGGAAGTGGACTCGGGATCTTCCCTCTCGATGGTATCGTGGAAAACGCTACAACAGCTCATTCCAACGATTCGCCGCCAAGACCTTAACCCTCAAAGGGTTATACTCAAAGACTATCAGGGTAACAGAATTCCCGTTGTCGGGTCCCGCAGATTCCAGGTCTCATTCAAGGACCGCACCGTCGCACTACCACTGACTGTCGTGGACCGCGACAGGCCTAGCCTTTTAGGCCTTCAATGGTTCAGACCGCTCGGAATCACTGTAGCCGGAGTCCACAGGGCCGAGAGCAGCGATTGAGAGGAAGCACTCGTGCAAGAATTCCAAGACGTTTTCGCGAACGGACTAGGCAAGTACAAGGGGACCCCGATCTCGTTTAACTTGAACCCTGAGATAGCACCCATCCGCCTTAAGCCGCGTCGGGTGCCGTTCGCCTTGAAGCCCAAAATCGACGAACAACTCGATAAGCTAATAGCGCAGGGCGTACTGGAACCCACCGACCACGCCCGTTGAGAAACCCCGATAGTGACGCCTATCAAGCCTGATGGGTCCCTAAGAATTTGCGGAGACTACCGGGCCACCTTAAACCAC